CCCCCCTCAGTATGGCCTCGGTACTCCACTGTAAATTCACGATTCACGATCTTTTTTTTTTTTTCAGCGTTACGTTGATAACCTTCTCCGGACACCGACTTTTTATTACTTTTTTTACGTTTCCGTTTTTCCACAGTACAGTTATTAGTCAAGAACAAAACGTCTGTGTTTTTTCTAACGTATTTTTTTTGACGCGTAACCCTGTCTACCTGACAGGAAGTCTGTATGTAGGCACACGAAGTCTCGTTCTCGCGAATGGCATGTGAGGTTGAAGAGTGATGGAAAAAAAGGTTGTGACTCGAGGAGTGTCTTACATATACCACTAGAGGGAGCCCGTGTACCAGCAGTGGTACCGTGACACAGTTTGAGAAGCGCTGTATTTCGTTCAGTTCTGTCCAGAAATCGTTTCTGCTCGTGTGCTGCTCGGCCGTGTTTCTGTAAGTCGTTTGCGTTGTTTACCTGCTGATCCGGCGGTTCTCACGTCACGTTCAAAGTTCAAACAATTGTGGTGGAGTTCCAGGTGTAGGCATGTTGTTGTTGTTGTTACCACCAGAACAACGTTCTGCCATCAGTGACACGGAGAAAGATTACAGTAATAATAATAATAACAAAATTATTGTTTGTTCGTAGAAATAATCGTCTGCTGTTTTAATGACGAAACATTTCTTCTCTGATTTGATTGGCTTTACCAAAGATCCAACGCTCATATCTTTTTTTTTTAGAGAAAACTGAACAAAAACTTAAATTTCTGCGTGACTTTTTCTCTCGTACGTCTTAGCTAAGCTAAGTGTTCAGCTCAATTCCTATTTGTGAGCTGCTAATCTTCTTAGCTATCGGAGAGAACGCAAATGTTAAAATTGTTGTTTTCAATTTAAATTTTATTATTATTTATTTTATTTTATAATTATTATTTTTGTTCCCCAGACTAATTCCACTGATTTTTGTTGTTTTTATCTATCGGTTTATAATTTAACTTGCGGGTTTATGCTAATCGACTAATTTAGCCTAATTTTTTAGAATTAGGCTAAATTAGCCTAATTTAATATTTTTAATTTTTAATACCCGGCCTTCTTGCTGACACTGAGAGGAGTACTGGACAGTGCTCCTCCCGGGGATTCCATCGTCCTGTTGGGGGACTTCAACGCCCACGTGGGCAACGACAGTGACACCTGGAGGGGCGTGATTGGGAAGAACGGCCTCCCCGATCTAAATCCGAGTGGTGTTTTGTTATTGGACTTCTGTGCTAGTCACAGTTTGTCCATAACAAACACCATGTTCAAGCATAAAGGTGTCCACCAGTGCACTTGGCACCAGGACACCCTAGGCCGGAGGTCAATGATCGACTTTGTAGTCGTGTCATCTGACATCCGGCCGTATGTATTGGACACTCGGGTGAAGAGAGGGGCTGAGCTCTCAACTGATCACCACCTGGTGGTGAGTTGGCTCCGCTTACGAGGGGCAAAGCTGGATAGACCTGGCAGACCCAAACGTATCGTGAGGGTCTGTTGGGAACGTCTGGCAGAATCCCCGGTGAGGGGGGCCTTCAACTCCCACCTCCGGGAGAGTTTTGAACAGGTCCCGAGGGAGGCTGGAGACATTGAGTCTGAGTGGACTATGTTCTCCACTTCCATTGTTGATGCGGCTGTCCGAAGCTGCGGACGTAAGGTCTCCGGTGCCTGTCGTGGCGGCAATCCCCGAACCCGGTGGTGGACACCGGAAGTAAGGGAAGTAGTCAACCTCAAGAAGGAGTCCTATCGAGCCTGGTTGGTTCGTAGGACTCCTGAAGCAGCCGAAAAGTACAGGCAGGCCAAGCGGACTGCAGCTCGGGCAGTCGCGGAAGCAAAAACTCGAGTCGGGGAAAAGTTCGGGGAGGCCATGGAGGAGGACTACAATCATGCTTTCTCACTTCACATGCATGGAGATGTTCTTGACAAGTAACTGTAATTAAAGGCACAGTAAGCAATTACAGTTTTCCATCTATAATCAGAACAATAATCAAAACAATACAATAATCAAACTCAAAAAACAAGGGCATTTTAGATTCAACTCCACACACAATCAAATGTGGGCGGTAAGTGAGCCCATTATGTTTCTCCCATGTCTTTTGTAGTTTGCACAAAAGTGAAAAAGTTGGTCAAGGAGGAACTGTATGACATAACAAAGACATAATGGGCCTTAATGAGTTTGTCAAAGACTCCCACAGAACCAGTTGCCTTGCAAGGAAGTGCATGCTTGTTGATCACAATGAAGTAGTGGTGAATGCTGCTTGGTGTGGTTCCTACAGCAAGAAGGTGGGACTGGCTGCTAAGGGGGATGTTGTCTAAATGCTGCTGCACACTGATTCCAGTCTGTGACAGAAGACATTCAACATAAGTTGTGGTGAGTAAAATCTGATTAGACTACATTTGATCACATCTCAAAAGGTGTGAGATTGATGTAAAGAAAAATTCATTCATTCATTCAACTTTTTAACAAACCTTTTGAAATTTAATGAGCTGATGTACAGTTTGAGATGCAAACATCTTTCCTGGCCTTTCGACCTTGCGCAGATGGTGGCAGTAGATGTAGCAGCAGCAAAAAAGTAGACATGTCACTTGTTATGTAAACCAAAAATGTGTTAACATCATAGCATATTCATTTGAAAGGTTGCACCATTACCAAAAAGGGCACTGCACACGTGTGCAATCAGAAATATCAAGTAAACAATGTCGTACCATTCTCAACTTCAGCCGCTGACTCTGCACTGTGCATCAAATCCAAGAGTTCTGTAGTGGGTACAAGTCGATGACTCTCCATTATTACTTTAGCTTTGAAAGAAGTTGGCCACTTCTCCAAGAATTTGTTGGCAGTGGTCTCTCCAAACAGAAGTCTGAAATCTTGCTCAATCTGTAACACAGACACATACAAAGAGTAACAATGAGAGTTACTGCACTGTGGCTATACTGGGAATTGCCGTGAAACAATTGAATTAAGATGTTGTACAAGTCCTGGTGTGTCCAGAAAATGTGGGAAAACCAAGAAGACATCTGCTGATTTGCTTTCATCATTGACCATTGCTTGGCGATAAGTGAAGGTAGCTTTCATCTTCTCACGGACAGTGTCTTCATCAGCAGAGTGTTTGTTTTGGTCCCCCAACTTAAGACAAAACACAATGTGACTCTTGCCAGGACAAGTAACAACTCACAAGTGTAACAACAAATCACTATTGTTATGATCTACACTAAGACGCTATACCTTTGCGAGATCTGCTGACAGAGGCACCTCTATCTTCTGCAGTTTTTCTTTGTATGATTTTCAATCATCATCGAGAGGAGTCAGCTGAGGTGGCTTGGGCATTTACATCGCATGCCCCCCGGACGCCTCCCTCGGGAGGTGCTCGGGTGCCGTCCCTCTGGGAAGAGACCTAGGGGAAGACCTAGGACACGCTGGAGCGACTACGTCGCTCGGCTGGCCTGGGAACGCCTTGGGGTCCCCCCAGAAGAGCTAGAGGAAGTGTCGAGGGAGAGGGAAGTCTGGGTGTCCCTGCTCAGACTGTTGCCCCCGCGACCCGGCCCCGGATAAGCGGTTGAAGATGGATGGATGGATAGCCTAATTTAGCCTGAATCATATTCATATGATCGTGAATATGATTCACGATCATATTTTTTTTTCAGCGTTACGTTGATAACCTTCTCCGGACACCGACTTTTTATTACTTTTTAACGTTTCCGTTTTCCCACAGTACAGTTATTAGTCAAGAACAAAACGTCTGTGTTTTTTCTAACGTATTTTTTTTTTTGACGCGTAACCCTGTCTACCTGACAGGAAGTCTGTATATAGGCACACGAAGTCTCGTTCTCGCGAATGGCGTGTGAGGTTGAAGATGTCGGCGGCCAGTTGCTGAATGTAAACAAACGGAGTGATGAAAAAAAGAAAAATATGCACTGCATTGTGACTTATGAAAAAAAAAAATTTTTAAGCTCCGAAAGCCGGAGATTTTGCAGATTTTTTGTGAAAAAGTCCCAAAAAAACTTTCCTCTGAAAAATAAAAAAGAAGAATGAAAAAAAGAGTGCACATCCAGTCCGCTGCATGTCCTTTGGCTCAGTTCTGAAACAACGCTTCTTCTTACGTCATTTCTCTCCTTCAACACTTTTTGAATTTTTTTTTTGTTTTTGTTTCTGCTCGGCTTTATTTTTGTGCAACATCGCTGGTCTGTAATGTTTGTTTTTTTAAATATGTTAAGTAACTTATTTCACTTGTACAAATGTTTTGATATTTATTATCATTGTACATATGTTCTTATTTTTTATATGTGTATATACAAAAATAAAAAAGAGAGAGAGAGAGAGATGGCTGTAGACGATCCCTTTTTGGTTATTTACGTTATTTAATGATGGGTTTACGCCAACATATCCCTTCGATCAACACGATGTTGGATAAAAAAAAAATATATGGTTTAGTGTTTCTGAGACAGTACAGACGCCTATTGCTGACACTGAAAAAAATGGCTGAGTTTTACACTATTTTGTGATAAGTTTTACGTTATTTCGTGATAAGTTTTATGTTATTTCGTGATAGGTTTTACGTTATTACGTGATAAGTTTTTCGATAAGAAAATAAGTTTTACGTTACTACGTGATAAGTTTCACGTTATTTCGTGATACGTTTTACATTATTTCGTGATACGTTTTACGTTATTTCATGATAGGTTTTACGTTATTACGTGATACGTTTTACGTTACTACGTGATACGTATTACGTTAATTCGTGATAAGTTTACGCTATTACGTGATACGTTTTACGTTATTACGTGAACGTAAAACTTTTTTAAAAATTCTCAGTGTGGCAGCAATACGCTTCCGTAGTGACAGCCTACGCTAATGCAAATAAAATATGTAATCTGTCAGACAGTCCCTAACCTGACCTAGGACCGGCTACATGGCTAGCTACCTCACAGCTTTAGCTTTACACTGGAATTTATTTTTGACAAAAAAAAGTTATTGTCGAATGACAATAACAGAAAAAGCGAACTCGACATTTTATTTTGAAGGGGCAGCGTGTAGTTCCACTAAAGTAACCCACGTGATACTCACTGGGCCGCTTCTATTGGTCAATTCATATTAAATGAGTTCCGACCAGCGCTTCAACGTTGACAAAATAGCTTCATCCTTCTGTCTAACGTCTATTTTAGTAAGTGTTTCTTTTAGGCGACGATATAAAAGGAGTGTCAAATACAAACGCTAAATTACACTCAATATTTTAGATTTTGTTTGGCAAAATATGTAATAATAATAATAATAATGTAAGAGAGTTTCCGCGGAGTGATACACGGTCATAGCGTCACCACGCTTCCGTCCTCGGGTTATTTGAACTGTCACCGCCGGTTCTGTTCTCCTTTTAGTTTTTTTATCAACATTTTAATCCATAACGTTGTTATAATATAGCAACTGAAAGACATAACGAGTGTTTTTTTTTAATGCGAGGTAAGTGTCTGTGGATTTCGCACTATTTTCGTTGTTAGCTCTTTGACTAGCTAGGCTAAAGTTACATGTAAAGACTTATCGAACGGCAGACATAATAAAAAACGTGTCGGCGGGTGTTTTATTTGTAATAACCGAGAACAGTACCAGTAAAATAATGTTTGTTTTTAAGTACAAACTTAATTATCCCGTGTGGAAAGAAAATATATACACCGTTTTACTCTCCTTTTTAATTTGGTAAATAGTCTGTGTTTCCGCTCTACTTAAACCTGAACCAGTGTTTCACTTCTTAACTTATTAAAATCTACTGTGAAGTTAAAGGAATTTAAGCAGAGATGCAGCGACTGGAAGTTTCTGGAAGATTCTAATTTTTTTTTAGTAGACGTGACTTGTTCGCACTAGATTTTATCGATTTCACTTGCCTTGCTACATATATATACAGTATATTTGCGTGTGTATGTATATATACCGTATTTTCACGACCATAAGGCGCATATAAACGACTTAGATTTTTTTTCAAAATGTGCGGTGCGCCCTATAGTGCAGTGCGCCCTATGTGTGTGTTGTAAGGCGAACGTGATAGAGACCACCTTGAGGAGGACGTGGTAGAGAACATGAGAACGTTAAAGAGGGGATGTGTGGGCGTGGATTGTGTATAAAAGAACAGGTATGTGCTTTATGCAGAACATTGCTGTTTTAACAACCCTGAAAATGGCAAAGAGACAGGCTTATGAAGCTCGCTTTAAACTGCAGGCTATCAGCTACGCCGAGGAACATGGGAATCGAGCGAGAGAATATAAAATAAACGAGTCGATGGTTCGCAAGTGGAGGAAGCTGGAGAACGAGCTCCGACAGGTGAAGAAGACTCAGCTGAGTTTCCGCGGACATAAGGCGAGGTGGCCGGAGTTGGAGGAAAGACTCGAGCTATGGATCGTCGAGCAAAGAGCGAGCGGGAGGAGCGTTTCG